ATCTATGTATTTATCTGCCTCAACATGTTCATATATGTCTATTTACATAACTCTATCTATCTATCTATCTATCTATCTATCTATCTATCTATCTATCTATCTATCTATCTATCACTTTTCATTATTTATCTATCTCTTTTCATTATCTATCTATCTATCTATCTATCTATCTATCTATCTATCTATCTATCTATCTATCTATCTATCTATCTATTGTTTCTTATAATGCCCAGGATGAACCATGAAAGTCATAACGTATACCGTCGGACTCTTAATTCTGGGAGAAATATCATTTAGTCCATTGTCATCGAACGCTCAGACAGTCAGTGGTTACGGCTTAATGGGGCTTATATTTCTATAAGCCGACTTACAAATGTTTATCAAGGCTTTTGTCATGCGAGATTGGAGGAAATAAATGTTCGTATAGTTAAAGGTAAAATGATCTGTTTCATTGTTCTTGTGTAGAGATTTAAAATGTTCATACAGGTTTTCTTTCGAGACAATGTCGTGTAGTAGAATCTATTCTCTGTACGAACTCTTATGCGATTGGCTTTAACGACTACGAAAGTAAGTCTACGATACATTGAACAGCTTTTCTTGAATTCGTTTGTAGTTATATACTTAAGAATTCTTCTTATGATGAGCACATTTACTGCTTTCGTACATTAGAATATATATTTATACACCTTTTCTGTTTATATAAACACACGTTCAGGGTAAGCCTTCGCAAGCTTATAAGATCACATGCTTGGGTTAGTCTGCTTTTTAACTGAGTTAAAGAGAATCAGAATTAAACTGACCTTCTTGCAAGCAATACTAAATCAACTTAATATCCATTTTTTAAAACTGAATTCACAAAAGAAGCCTTCACGAAAGCAAGACATATACATGTCTAGCAGCATGACCCGGCGTTGCCCGTGCTTGATTAAAAAATCGTACGACTCATACAGTAATCACTTTCACTTGACTTAAAATATTTTTGCCCTTCCTTGCCTTTAAAGGAGTGCCCTTTGCCGTGCTGATGTTGCTACATGCCTTAATTCTTGCCTATTTCACACTGCGAATTTTTTCTAAGCTCTATACTACTAAACATTAAATCTGTTACGAAAAAAGAACTAAACAAAATGGACACAAAACGATCAGTTTTAAAAATGGACTCGTAACTGGAAAACACACACACACACACACAGTGTGTGAGAGAGAGAGAGAGAGAGAGAGAGAGAGAGAGAGAGAGAGAGAGGTTGCTATCCTTTGGGGAAGTTCTAGACGATATTTTCAATACGCTTCTTCGTGAAAGATTCATGATCCTTGGAAGAATTTCCTAACTTCTTGCCGAATTCATCTTTTCGAAAACAATCCACATTTCGAGACCTTGTGTGATTCCGAACACAGCAGACACCATCCTTTAGCAATGAGTCAACCATTTAAATTCATAAAAAGAGGGTGCTCACCCTACGCTCGGAATCACTGATCTAGATTTTGTGATTCCTTCACACAGAAGATGAACTTTCTTTAAAAGTTTTAGAGTCACCCCTACCCAACTATTTACGTATAGTTGACGAAGGAGAATTGAATTCATGCCTTTCCAAAGGGCAATAGTGCAAAGTGAAGATGAATTGTCAAATGGAAACAAATGTTAACGGTGGTGTAATGGATAGCGGCTCGGGTTGATGTAATCAGGGCGCCGAGTTCGAATTCCAGTCGAGTCTATTACATTCACTTACGTGCTAACAGCCTTGGGAAAGGTATGAGTCCTCTTCTTCTCTCACCCGCTATGGGTAAATAGCAGGACAGACCGAGTTCTATAGCCTTGGATGGCAACTGGTCTACCGCAGAAAGAAATGGCAAACTACTGCGAGAAATAATATGCCTCGTCAGTCATGTATCAAAAGGTATATATCACACATGGCACATAACTGACTGATTATGTTTAACATCAGAAAGAGACCGTTGAATCTTTTTAAGGTACCGAATGAGGAAAGAGACCTTAGAAACTTTGACACTCACAGGATATACTAGATGCAAGAAGGAAAGAGGAAAGCAATGCATAACCTTTCTGAAGAAGATCTTATTGTTGGCATTATAAGGATTAAGAGAAATAGCAAAAGGACAAACTATATAAAGAGCTACAAAGGACAGGAAGTTAAGGAGAGCCATGATCGCCTACTTCCTGAATAGACACGGCACAAAGAAGATGTTAAACCAATTCTTCGTGCGATTAAAATGGTCAATCCACTATTTCACCAACATTGTATCTCGAGAAGTTGTTCCCGACTTATTTATTTTTTCAATCTATATATCCACCCCGGCATCAAAAACATTATATATATATATATATATATATATATATATATATATATATATATATATGTGTGTGTGTGTGTGTGTGTGTGTGTATGTGTGTATTGGAAGATTGGAATGAATCGATTAAGACTTAATACAATTCAATTCCGAGTCATGAAATTGTTTTCGCTCTTCTTACCAAAATTCCAAATTGCTACTCAGTTCTGTGGAGCGTGCACTCCACGTTTAGAATTGTTGACGCAGAATCTGTAAGTATAGCACGTTGTAAAAGTCCATCTAGCAGACCAATTTATTCGTCTGCACCGTCCCTTCACCCCCCAAAAATACAACAAAAAACAAAACAATAAAACGGAAACATAAAGCAAACGAACGCTAAGCTATTCTTGAAAATCTAAATTGACTTTTATTCGCAGTTTAAGGCAAATTTATGATAATTTTTTCAAAGCCGAAGGGCTCGATTTTTATTTTTATTTTTTATGCGGTTGACTTTACACAAACAAAAAAAAAAAAAAAAAAAAAAAAAAGAAGAAAAATGAACCCCGCCCATAATGTTTGTATTTATACTAGGGTTGAAAATTAATATATTTCTGTTCTTCCAGGGATGACAAAACATTATTTTGGGACAAGGGTTAGGGTATTTTTTTTTACATAACTCAAGGATGACATAGAATTATTATATGAAATTATACTATATTTATTCTAAAATCAAGTACAGTTTTTTTTAAAAACAGTAGCTGTTATTCTTGTCACTGTTCATAACCGCTTGGCTCATCTCCTTATTTGTTTTTCAAATTGCAAATTGCAAGAACTTAGTGTAAAAACGCCTTATTTTACATGAAGATGTTATATGTCCTGTCGATTTTTAGACAAGAAAAATCGTTTTGTTACCTGACAAATTCACGTCCGTTCCTGGCCAACCAATCGCTGCTGCTGTTTTATTCTGACGCCCTAAAGTCACCCAAATCTGTAGGAATAAAAGGATAAAACTTAGATTAATTTAAAAAAATAAAATACAAAATGGGAGCAAATAATAAAGAATAAAGAAAAATGACGCAAGTCTTCAACCACGGCAGCAATCAAAACAGAAGCAGCAGCAGCAGTCAAAATATGATAGCCAGCAGCAACAGTTGCAATCTAATCAGCAGCTAGGTTAAGTTTAAGGCTCTAAGTTTACTACAGAAAATTATCAACATGGACAATGGCCCAGTGGTTAAATACGTTTGTTTGTGAATTTAGTGACACCGGGTCTGGCAAAAAATGGAAACAAACAACTGAATATGAGCAATAACTGAACTACACTAATTAAAATAAGAACTAGATGTTATTTTAAATAAAGAGTTTAGAATTCCCTCAAGGTTATCCAGATTTACACGTACAGGGAAGGCTGAAACCTTATGATCGCAACAAAAAAGATGAGGACAATAGTCCGAATATAAATAGTGTAAATACTGTATAATTTTACCTTCTAAAATACAAACACGTTATTTTCTTATCTAATGTACTAAGATGGCGACAAATTCTATTTCAAGTCTAAGTCGAAGCATGACAATCACTTAATAGACAAAGGTATCTGAGTGCTTCACATGAAATGCCTGAACACATAAGATTGTAATCTAAGACACATAGGTGTAAAGGAACTGATTAATTACATCGGAATTAATTATTACGGAATTACTTTTTCTATATTCGGATTAATATCTTATTGGCATAGATTATTAAAACAAGGGATGTAAGCTCTCATAAATTTACTAACTTAAGTTGATTTACCTCCCTTGATACAACAAACTCATACTGGGACAGGAAATATATAAATAAACACACGGGAAATATATAAATAAATAAGTACACATTGATAACTATTATATGGCTTGATAATTTACAAGGAGGATTAACGAGGATTTCTATTTCTATTGTTAAGATAAGGTAACTTTCTTCAGGGACAAGTTGTTATGAAACGAGATTTTATGTGATTAAACAAAGTTTTTACAAGTGATCAAGACTAATTCCACTTTCACTTTCACTTTCATTTTGTTTACAAAGTGTCAAAATAAAAATAGTGTAAGTTTTATTTGTTAGAATACAAATATGTTATTTTCTTACCAAATTTGCCGCAGAGTTAATTCAAATACACTAACTCAATGGAATGAAGTGTTCTTCCTTCAGCGGATGACTGGGTAGTATTTTTTTTATATGGAAGATCATCGGGATGCGGGATGTCTCTTGCTACTGATGAGAAGGGCAGGATAGAGCAGGACAGAGCTCGTTGGAGCTTTATATAAATTTCAACCGGCAATAAGATTAAGAGAACAGCCAATATCAACATTGCCAATAACATTCATTCTTCTGTCTTAGTAGCTTTATTGACTTGTTTGGGTGAAAGGATTCAAAAAAAAAAAAAAAAAATCAACAGAAGAATCAACCCCCTGAAGAACAATAATGTGCTATATGACAGTTCGATGTGCGTTGGTGTAGTGGATAGCGGAAATAGAAAACAGAGAGCGGAGTTCGAGTTCGTTACTGTCACTAAAATCGCACTTTCACTTGGGAAATGTATGAATCACTTCATACAACAATCAGTTGTTGATTAGGCTGTCTTTCACAAGGTACACCACAGCTGCATACGTCCCTAAGAATCAGGATATATCATTTGAATGCGAGGAACTAACTTACCGGTTCACCTTTCCACCATTGTTTCT